GAACCTACACTTTACTCCCAGCAAGTGTTCAGTTCTACTTGCGCCACTTCACCCCCATTTCTCGTTTCCTCCTGAAAAGAAGCAATTCGTTCCGGGCCATTTGTATCCTTTCTTTCTGCACCCCATTGACACTCTGCATCTTCACTCCCACCTCCAAAAACAATTTATCGAATATTCCTCATTGATTCCTGGAACCCAACACAGCTATAAATTTCAAATCCATTTGAATCCATCCTCTCAACAGAATAAGGGAAAAGGGAATGATAGGAAGTGGAAAAAAAAACAATGCCCTGTGAGAATGAGTAGCGGAAGGCTTTCAGCCCGAGCAAGTGAACACTGAAATCAACGCTCCGAAGTGAAGATGGAGAATCCCAAACACAGGAAAAGCAATACTATAGGTAAAACTGAAGACAGTGAACCAACACACGAAAAGGAAGCTCATAGTGCAGCCCGAGTGGGACAAGCGAAGACGCTGAAGAGTCGAAGAGGCAAAGGGGTAAATACATAGGAAAAGAGAGAGAGGAGATTGGCCGAACAAACGGGGCTGGAGTTGGTCTTGGATTTAAGCTTTCTAGCAGGCACACCAGGCACGAAGGATAGTGAGCTTGTTTCTCAAACAGTTAGGAAACGGCTAACGCCAAGGATAAAGTGGTATCGGAACGAGACGATCGTCGAACAGATGCTGAGCCATAAAACAACCGCTTCCTTTCCCCCTTCTTTCCATTGGATTTACCCTCTATCGCTATCATCCCCCCTGGCATAGGAGAGAAAAAAAGAACACAGCCAACTAGCATTCCTCCTAATGGGCCAAGACAAACTACCCCTCCCCATCATTCTCCTCTCCTCATCGTCTCACTACCATACTCCGTTTAGTATTGTATTCCCTTTCTTTTCTCCCGGTAAAAAGAATTGTTCTTCGATACTCGTTTCTTCAATTTCCCTTTCCATCCTATCAGCCTTGGAATCTTTTACTTTATCTCCACTCCCCGAATCCTCGAGCCTGTCACACGTGAAAATGACTCTGCCACCCATTCAATTTATTTCGCTTGTTTCTCGGTCTGGATGGATTTTTTTTTATTAACGCTCAAGTTAATTGTAGAGGTTGGGTCTAGGATAAATTAGGGCATGATAAATTTGGAAAATAGTCCAGAATAGTAATGACAAGACAGGAAATATAGGGTGGACGGGGGAATTTGTTCGTTGGTGGTTGTGATGGGAGGCTTTAGGAAATACAACCTGGAATGGTAACATGCGTCCAATGGATGGCATGGAAATACGGTCGGAATATATGAATAACATTGGTGAATGCTAACAACCAACGTTGCGTATTGAATATCTGCACAAACGCCTCGACGTACCTATTCCACCTTGATTACGGAGGAATCTGTAACTTCGTTAACGACGTCCAAACTCGTGTAAATTTTCCAATTAAATGTTAGGATTAAAATTTACACAGCTCTTCACTCGGGTGAATCTCATTTTTTTCGTTAATGTTACAAAATAAAATTGAAGAAATATAACGGAACTGCGTTAATGAGGTGTCAAATTATAATTGAGATAAAACATTTATTTTTATTTTACATGCCCGCACAGATGGCACTGGTGCATTTGCATAACGTATTTTTGCGTTTAAAAAATGATAATCTCCACAAAATTTATTTAATTAATGAACATGAGATAAACCGATTAAGCCGAAAACCGTTCCTGCGAAACAAGAAAAAAATGGTGGAAAATTGAAAAGAGTTTCATCTTTCATAAGATTCGTGATTCTGGTGGCGAGCGAGGGTATTAAATTCACTTCATTAGAGTTCAACTTTTTCCGGTATCATTTGCGAGTAAAAAAAATTGCCCACTCCTCCTCCTATAGACCATCCAGACGGGTGTGGTTAGTTGGACGAAAAAAAGGTGAAATTAAAACACAAAAAGCGATAAAAATAAACTTGAAAAACAAGAGATACGAAAGCGCAATGCGTACGTACGCAGTGGATTAATAATAAAAATGGATAATAATAGGCAGAATGAAACAGTGATACGCCTCGTCATTTTCTTGTTTCCATGTTCTCATTAAAAAAAGGGGGAAGTTATTCATCGCCTCGTTGTTATTCGCAAGCGTATACCAGTGTGACCCAAAGAATCGACGATATCAGAATTCCGAGGTGAACCATCAAAATCTCCCCCTGACTCTGGATCAACGAGTGTCATTGAGAGGTGTCACTTCGTGGCATATTCGTTTGTATTTTCCCGCCACTCGTCATTATACATCATAACCCAAGCCCTGTACATTATTGTCGTGACATGAACCGCACAGTTGTGAACACTCGAGCGCTCCAGGACACCTCGAAATACAAATAATCACGAGGGCTTCTCTCTCCCTCATTTATGAAGACATACTTTTTTTTTTTAGATTCGGGATTCGCCTGCCGACGCATCAACGACCCCCGAGTACATCTCCACATCCTCGTTACAACGACCAGCATTTCAACAATGTACTTGAAATACTTGAAATTTTAGCGATAAAAGAACAACCGGGAATGTATACACAGAACATATGGTGATGGAAATTCAAATGCTCAATGTTTACGTCGGGATCATTACGGAATAAGTGTTCAGTCTCAATTCTTAACAGAAAGCCAAGCTGTCATCATAATTGTAATCTTGTAATTATGATCATAATTAAAAGATTATTTTTCCATGAAATTGGGGAATAATTAATGATAAAATTTGACTATATTTTCAGATATTAGATCTGTCTTTTGTGTTGGATGATTTTATTATCATCCATCATCAAAAATATAATTATTTAATTGATTAAGTGACAGTCCTCCTGATGATTTATGGAATTTCCTTGAAGAATATAATGAATTTCAGGAAGAAATGAGGAGAAGCGGTCAGTAACGCGGGTGTCAATGGAATGGCGTTTATTTGTTCATTTACAATGATCAATGACATGTATATTCTCATTAGGGGACGAATACGACTAAACAGGGAATTACCACTTTACCGCGTCGCCCACTCCCCGTCGGGTCGATGCCAACTAATTGTTATTATAAACTTACCAGCATAGGTTTAATCATAATAGCTTGGGGCTAATTGGATAGATAATTAAGGGTAAAGGTAATTACGGGCGTATATGGATGCAGATGGAGGGGGTTGTGTACGTTGAGATGTTCACTCTACCGCTTTCAATATCGCTTACGGCAACATAACACGATCATGCCAACGGCTGTCAATCGACAACCTCAACACATCCATTAATGTTATAATCACAATGCTCACATCAATTCTCACGGTAAATCCAAATATTTTTTCGTCATTCTATTCCATTTACCAGCGATAAAACCATCAATCACTTACATTAAATCACAAACACCCTAAAAAAATTCCGCAACAGCTCCATAAAATTTTTCTCACGAAAAATTCCAGACACATTCGCATTTTGTATAATTAACTTTAGCATAGATGATACAGAAATTGACGAACCACTCGGCATTTAATTCTCCATTGATGTTAACCAGCAATGGAAAAAGGACTCGAGCGATCAGTGTCATTCTCTCGTAAAATTTAGCGGTAACCACAGAAAGTGTGTGAACCCCAGTAAATCCGCTAAAAACTTTTCACTCCCATATATACTCCGCAAAAAGTCGTATATCATGTGGGTTAACGCTGCACCAGCGATCGTATTCGTTGTATTTACAGAGAGACGAATTGTCGGGTTAACCCAATTTTTACTAGAGAGATAAAAACCACATCGAGTACATTCGTCACGGCAATATCCCTCTGATCATCAATTTACCCTTTATTTATGACCGAATTAGTATTACCGTTGAAATAACCGAGTAAAATCAATTCCTTTATGCTCCATCAATCTATAAAAAAAAAACAATGGTATAAACCGAAGGTCTCGTCAGATTCTGAATCACATTGATATATGAACGTATATGTAGATTAAGAGGAAGTTTCAGATGGCTTCAAGAATCGGCAGGAAGTTAAACAAAAAAAAAAATCTCCCAGTAGCCCTTCTGAATATTCTGAATCGATTAAATAATCGAAGCCTGGCATCTCTTCTCGTATGAAAGTTCTCATATCCTGAGAGGGGGTAGAACAGCTTCTTGGTCTCCACATGGTCATGTCATCTCACTCTATCTCCATTCACCTATTCGGCTCCTTCTTTTCATATTCAAATGCCACGCCATTGACGCTCCGATGAATAATACTCAATGATAAATTTGTGGGCGTATTCAGGATGGACCCGAGGAGTACACGAAAGCAAAAGCTGTATGGAGACCTTGAAATTCAACCGCGTATGGCAAACGTCTGTGCACACAATTTGAATACGTAAAAAAAATCATGGAACATGTGAAGATGAGGAAGAACGGCCACAACGTGCGGTTACTCGTGATCTTGTACCTGGTATTACGAAATGAAAGACAATACCCGAGGTATTGTCTTTCATTTCGTTTTCGGTTTTTTTCTTATTCGCTGGGTTATTGTATTTAAGCATTGAGCGCTGGATTGACGTATGTGGCTGCCTTTCATTCGATGTTTGAGTTAATCAATTGTACTGATGAAAGAGGCTCAGAAGGTCGGCAGATGAGATCGCTCAAACCATCGAAAAACAAATAAACATGTTCAACATGTCCTCATCCTTTTTTACTCGATCATTCGACCCCTCGACAAATCAGTGGTTTTCTATTCCCTTATTTATTATTATTATTATTTACTATTTCTCAAAAAATAATTTGAGTTAAATGTTGATCTCATGTATTCTCATTTTTTAAATTTATCTCAATACTATACATTAATTGGACAAGGTGATGGGTGCCTCAAAAGATAGGCTGGGGGAGGAGAGTGAATTGAGCTGCCATAATGTCGGAATAATTTTGAATGAAGGGATCTGCGGATTCTCGAAACAAAGCAACGGTTGTCGATGGAACTATTCGACTATTATATCCCCCCAAGACAACGTGAATGATTCCAGGGAGATGAAGGATAAAGGAGAAGGAGCTGGAAATAGGATTGTTCGCACCATCGGTTAGGAATCCCATCAAGTATCGTAGTAACCAGTTGAACGACGTGAGATGGTATGTGCCAGCTAGTTAGAGTTTATAATAAGGATCCCATCGTCATGTATATAACGCCCCGTCGAGCCTATCTATTTATTGGGTGCAAAATGTCTTCGGTTCAATCCCCGTGAAATGCCCACTGAGATGAATCAAAGTATAAAAGCACCGAGGTTATAATCTATACCCATTTTTCGATTATCGTCTGATAGGCCATTGTTTTCCTTGGAGGGTATTGGATAGTATATGGTATGTGAACTGTTTAAGTCGAGTGCAACTCGATGCCAGTAGTGATTCAACTGGTTTAACAAATTTCTTTTATTATTCCTTGTTCTCTTTGCCGGTTCGACAAAGCTCCTTTGATGATTTAAAATGTTTAAGCTTAATGGTTCTTTCTTTACCCTCTCCGGGCGAAAATCACTCCAATTTCTCTCACCCAAGTGTTTTATAACATACGTGGGACTATGTGCTGACGACGGGGACTTTATCACGCGTGATGTAATTCCCGAAGTACGAGTAGAAGAGGCAAGTTAAGGAGCGGGGGCTGGTGAGAGGACCTTATATACCACCACTGAAGGTTCATCCACCTGGAAATTAAAAATGTGGCACAATGAGCCCTTGACGGTAGAAACCCAACGCTTACCGGTATGCACTCGGGCACACGCAATACGACGGGTACCCAACGTTGTCGTCGACAACTTCGTCATCTACTTGCTCTCCTCGAGGTATACACGCTCTTTTTTTTCCATTTTTCCATCCAATCTCCTCTCGCACCTCCCACCTGAGTCAGTAGACCCATTCTCACTCTTTTTTCCACCCCTTCCGCAATTCCGCCAAGGGTTTTCAACTAAGAGTTAACGATTTCGTAAAAGTGCGATGATGTTTTTTTTTTGTACCTCGCTTTTCCTTGTGTATTTGCAAGACCGGAGAACTTCCGCATCAACCATCTCCGGAGTATTTCAAATGTTCGTTCAACTTTCGAATTTATGCTGGGGATAGATGGGTATTGCTATTGTATATTAGATTCAAAAGTGAGAAATTTCAGTTTCGGTGAATATGAGGTTTACGTATCGAGTTGGGGACGAAGATTTTACCAATATTGAACCGTCTGCTTGTACAAAAATAATTTTCAAAAATGCTTGCTTCAAATTTCTCAAAAAGAAAAATAAGTAACGTACGTGTATAAAATTGAAGAAATAAATATAAAAAGGAAAACACCCGATAAAGGGCCACCAAATTCTCAGTGTTACATTCCCCTATTATTTCATCCCCCGACGATTTTCAATTTCAACTTTGGGGGAAACAAGGACGGGAGAGAAACGCACTCTCCCTCTGGAGCAGAGGAGTTTTTTTCCTTACCACGGGTGAGGAATTAAAACCCGATCAAAGTTTATAAATGGACGAGCTTCAATATTGGAAGGAGGAAGGAAGGAACAAGCGATAGCGGAGATACCGAGTCTCTTGATGGAAGGGGAAAAGCGTCGCACAAGAGGTATATCCGGTGAGATTTTTTCAAACCTCCCTCGAGCAAGTCGGTATCTCCTTATTGAATTTTCCGCGGGCTGAACGCGCCCGTTGTTACGGTAAAATCTTAGAGGGTGATGGGAGGATGAGGACCAGGCGAAGGAGCAGCTCCGGGCCGATCGAGGCATCGTAAGCGAATTAATACTCCTCGACGAAGCGAAGCATCGAAGGAGGGACGATTACAATTTCACAGTGGATATTATCAATTTGACGGCCCTCGATGGGAAAGGACCTGAGGAGAATTGGAGGGGAATGAATACTGTCTTGTGATTTCCCGGAGCAATTTCTCCTCGATGATAATCGATTGAGATATTTTCATTATTATGAGACAGATAAATCGACGAATGATCGGTAATAAAATATTTATTACTGTTAACTGTTTGTTTGCCAGTGAATGGGAATAACAGATTCTATTGAATTCAGATGACATAAAATTGGGTAATAAATTGGCCTTTGTTCTCATTAAACCCTTCGTTCGACCCAGATTAATGAAAAGAAACCAACAGCCGAAATATCCCCCACCAACTTTCTCTCCCTTTATTCTCCCTACACCTGCGAAAAAAAAACCCTCACCTTTTTCAAGTACCATACGTAGGAGGTTAATATTCAAATGTGCGCACGACCGATCGTCGGTATTCTACGATATCCCACCGGGATTATTCAAATGGCCGATCGTTTCAGATACCAACGATGGCGTAACCCTTTTCAAGACTCAACTAAAGGACATGAGGCATTGGTTCTTATTGTCAGGCACGTCCCTTTATTCCTCCGAGGAGTGCGTATTTATCTCCATCCCAATCAATTTATTTATCTTCAAACTAGGCCTAACATTCATTGTTTCAGGAAATCTGATTCTCGGAGGATCACCATGAAAATGAGATCCTCTTTGTCATTTTGTTATCCATCTTCTGGAGTTGGACTTGCATTCAAAAACATACGCAGAAAAACATTAAACACTGTCGATTCACAATATATTACATAGTTTAAAATCACTATGTGTTAATCAATTTTTGTAACATAAAACAATTATTGTCTTCCACTGGAAATAAAAATTTCTCAATTTCTGATTCGAACAATCGTGATGAAGATTACGATTATTTACTTCCGTAAATTTAACAGAAAGTATTCCAGTATGAACTCAAACAGAGCATAAATTTGTCATAAAGTCAATCTGCATAGGGACAGAGGAGAGAAGAGATCCAAGAAGGACTGGACCAAGACAATAAACAATGCATACGTATCTGTCGATGAACAAAGCCCACCAAATGATGACAACTTCATCCAAAGGAATGTGGAGGTACCGAATTACGTAGCTGTCCAGGCATCCAACTGCATCCACTGAATGAAGATGCAGTGCCAGGACCGGAGGACGTACCGCTGTCCTGACAAACGGGGACGAATTAGGCTAAGCAATCGGAATAGGTCTGTACCCGTTTGCCGAAATTGTCCAAACTCGTAGGTGCGCAGTGCAGAGACAAATCCCTCGGAGGTGCACTCCATGATGAAAATACGTATACACTTCAGACAAGGGGGAAGGATTTTGCCTGAGGGGTAGTGGAGCATTCAGAGGAATGGGCATGGCACGCAGGGAAAACCGAGAAGACGATACTGGAAGGGCCGCAAGGCGACGTAAAGTGGGGGTCCATCTTGAAATTGGGGTAAGACGAAACAGAGGATGGTGTATTTGTGTAATATTCCGTTTGTCTTGTCTTCAGAGCATCCGCTAATGTACACAACACTAGGAAACACCAAAGGAGTGAGAGGAAGAAGAGCAGATAGAGGGGGTAAGGTAAGGAGTGACAGTACAAGCAGCAGCCAGCAGCTACTGGGGATTGTTATTGTACAATTTGCTAAGACTAAGGCGACTGTGCTGAGTGTGAGAAGCACCTTTGGACATCAACCTGGGGTATCGCACAGGGAGACTAGTCTTTCACTTCCTCTCATTTCCTCGTCCAATTCAACTGGTTCAGGTGGTATTATTATTGTCCATACCTGAAGCATCCACGAGCAACTTGTTAGCAAACAAACAAATATCAATATTGCCGTTGGGGGATTTGGCATTGAGTGTGGTGAGTTTGGCTCAATAACTTCTCACTGTCATTCTATAAATTTCATTAACTCTAGAAATTAATCACTCACCAATGTGGAGTAGATTCAAGACAAAAGTTTTGCCACTGACCAAAGATCAAAGCAAAGACGACCAACATCTAGCTCTGTACATGCCACGGTCTTTGCCGTCTAACGCAATAATGCAGACGTTTGTTAACTAGTGATGACATTACCCAGCCAGGAATCCCTTTCAAGCCTCCACAAAACTACTAAAGATACTCTGATAGAACGAGTCATTCATTATTACGTCATCAATTGTCTTGACTACTTTCGCTGATGAATTTGTTGGAATACTAATCCGCTGTAATCACTCATATGTTTTCAACTATATTCAATCTCTGGTCTTAATAAGGTACTCAATGACACCCAAATGAAAATTACACAGTGGATAAGTCTGACTTGGTGCAGATACTCCCTTCGACTTGAAGCGCACACATGCGCGTGCACTGTTGGCATTAAGACGCGCACCAGTGGGTTCCATGGCAAACCTTCTGGAAATACGAAGACAAAGACAGATTGAGTGGAGGTGAGTAGGTTGTTCTTACACAAATAAAACAGCACTTAGTACAGTCGAGTACTTACCTCTTCTCTACGACAACACAGACAATGGGAATATGACATCTGCCTTGGCTCCTCCTGCCTCTCTTATTGCCGACGTTCATCTCTATCTATTCAGCGACAGGTAACGATGCGATACGAAACTCGTATGTAAATCTGCAGGAAGTATAACTGCAATCCTAGTGGTGACGGCAGACGGAGGAGTTTCCCTGCTGAATGTGATGTTTCCGTCTGAGTCAAACGGCGATTTCTAGTTGTGAATTGTCATTCTGGATGGGAGGACATCACAATGCAGAAGCTATCAACGAAATTCCTCCTCATCTGGGCCATCATGTCGTCACGTGTGTCAAAATCTTCGAGATAAACGGTTCAAATAATATTGACTGCCGTCAAGTGTTAAGATATAATACAGAATGATTAAACTACTTGAAATAAAAACTGATACCTTGAGTACAGTTTTCTTGTGATTAAAAAACAATTCCCTTTGAATTGTTCCGACAGCAAAAAATTACAGTTAAGGACTCAAATGTTTGGGATAGTTTATTTGTACTAGAAGCTATCAACTATTCTTGTATCGTTGATTTGCCTCTAACCCACATTCAGATATTGCTCGGGGGTCGAAGGGATTCGCAAGCACCGACTGATTATAATATATGATAGACATTTCTATTCACTGAAGTTAATTTAGTACATATGGCTGTGTTGATCCGCGGTAAAATGGGTATTAAAAATAATCTCAAGTCTGCACAGGCCACTACGGGGCATCTTCGGGTATATATTGGCTGGAAATGAAGGAAGAGGACGCCGGGGGCGGATTCGGCCTCGACCACCCTGTGCAAAACTGCCTGTACAGCTCGTCTATACAACTTGTATAACAAAATAAAAAGACTGGGCGCGCGTAACGCGATATGAAATGCACGAGTTTGGACGTTTTGGCATCTCGACAAGCCGACAATCAACTCATCGAGGCGTGCGATTGCATTTTTATTATATATTATAGACTGCCCGATGCCTTCCAACATATCGTACGTCACTCACAGTGTCAGTTGCTAACGTACCGTCTCGAACGTATTTTCATATACGTACCGGGTGCTGTCTGAGAACAATCTTTCGGTTTATTTTTTTTCCCAAGGTTTTGGATAGAAGGAGGGAGTTTCTGATTGATAATCGGTTCAGGATATTAGTTATGGATAGATTGGGTTATTACGAATGGGCCAATCTCCGTCGGGCGCACGTGGAGAACGCAGGTTTTTTGCATCTTTTTTAAATTGATAAAATCATTCTGTACTTGAAGCGTAGGACAATTTTCACGATGAACAGCGGATTTTTAATACATTATAACAAAATTTTATACTCGGACCAGCCGATTTCGCGGAGTTGCTGAAGAATTTTAATTGTACTACTCATTGTCCTGTGGAGCATTTCAATTCCCAATAATTTTGTAAAAATAAATGTGATTATAAACGTGGAGACAAGAGTCACCACTGGTTCTGGGAGGAATTTAAATCTCATTTAAGGGAAGGAATAGTATATAAATGAATCTGATATAGTTCCTTTTCCGGGAAACATTGAAAAATTTGCGATGAGTTGGGCCTTATTGGGATTTTTATATGGATGGGACTCGTTTTAATGATGAAACGATGATACACACCCGGTAGAAATTTCGAATAGGTGCATCGAGTCTTCTCTCTCTTTTATCAGCCATACACATAATTACAATCTGATAGAGTCCGTTGTCCGTTGGTTGAGTGGGTTGATTCGCATACTTGTTCTTGTTTGAAACACATCAAAGGTGGATTCTCGGTGGTAGGACGGCCGATCTTGAAGGTATAGGGGCCCCTCGGGGCCCCCCTCCCACCTCAGTAACCAATCGCTGTGGATGGCTTTGGTCAGTGATGCGCAACAAAAAACTGAAAAATCGTGCGGCTAGGCGCCGATACTTCAACCTGTTCTTAGGGGCCGGCAACATGGCCGATAGGTATTCGATTTTTTGGACAAGTATCGGCAGTTGAAGGGGATGGGCCCAAAAATTGGGGCATATAAAATTGAGGATCGAATTCGGGGGCGAGGATTGAGATTCGGGGGATTGAATAATGGTGGAAAATTGATAATGCTCGTGTAACAATTATTTATGCAACACCTGCCAAAAAAAAATCGGTTAATATATTCATGGAGTACACCTGCTTCCTGTACGTCGTGAAGAGGTTCAGTGATTGTGGGGTAAGAATTGTAATTCGACTGAGCCATATTCCTTCTCTCTATTTGTTTATCCTTTTCAATTCTTCAATTTTTCAATGCAACTTAAACATTTCATATTTCACACGAATGAATTATTTTTTTTCCGAATTGAAATCTATTAATTTTAGATTTATCTCTTACAACATTACGTATTACAATGCCACCAGTTAATTACATTAAGCCGTCGGCAATGCGTGCAGAATAATTCACTCCCCTTCAATGACATCCATCATGGAAAATAAAAGTTGGTAAAAAAAATCCATAACATTCTACACAATTATTTATTTTCCTCTTTCCGTGGCATTGAACAGCACTAGTCACATAAATCATCAAATTCATCGTCACAGTTCTATAAATCCTTCTCCCACGCACGTAATATTCACCTCCGATTGAACCTCCTTTTCAATACCCCTTCACCATTCTGCTTTCAACAAAAAACGATAAGCATCTTACCTCGATGCATTCAATCCCAGAAGACGCCATACCTCGAAAAAAGAAAAGGAAAAACGACACGATCGAGAGCGAATATAATTCCAATTTTACCAACTGGAAAAGCCCTTTGTGTCCCTACACGTCACACTCGACCGACTTTATAGGTCGACATCGATTTCGCGTCTCGATGATACAAAATGCACTCACACAATCTCCACAAGGAGTTTCGCTTCTCGTCTCATACCATCCACTCTTTCATCCTCCTTTTCATTTCCACCTTTCTGTCTCCTCGTCCCGACTGCAAACGTGACGATCTCACTGTTGACGGCTGTGGCTGGATGAAATTGAAAAGAAAATAAATAAAAAAAAATGAGAAAAAAAAACGAGTCCCTCGAACGAATTGACGGAGGCGATCACCTGTCGACTCGTTCCAACCACCTCGATAAGACGGATGACTATTGTCGTCCGCGTCCGGTTTGATTATTGATATGTATATCTCCACCATTTTATGTACCCCCAACTTATATTTATTCATTAACAATTACCAGACCGAACGGGTGCAACTTATCGAGACATCGAGACGACACGCGCGATCGCAGATAGTGACTGCATTGCTCACGAATGATCACCTCCACTTCATATGAATGTCCAACAGCTTAATAATGTTGCAATCAAAAGTAACGAAGGATAAAAATGAAAAAATTCCATGGCAACACCTGACCGGTCAGCAATCCCATACACCCACTGTTCTTCAACAAATAAAAACAGAAAAATGGTGAAAAGTCGACCGGGAGGGCTGCACCTTTCCTCATTCTCCCTTTTTTTTTTCAACTAAGAGCAAAGTTTTTCGTTCTGTACTGGAGATTATGTCAAGATCACGCGCGCGTGAGTGGATGTCCAATAATATACGATTTCTCGTGGTGAATCCCCAGTGAGTTAAGCCAACCGTGAAAGGACAGATCAGTGTATAGTACCGAGAGTTTTTTCTCCTATAAAAGATAATCTCTCTCACTCCGGCACTCAATCCCTGATACATCGGTGCATTGATACACACTTCACACACGTAAACGCCTGAATTCAATGATCCCGGCTTGAATTTCGAAAGTCGATGGAAGTGTAGGGAGGAATTGTCTTCTTTGTTCGTGATGTTTCTACGATGGTGTTAGGTTTGTGGATGAGTAGTTTTGTTGCAATCGTGAGAAGTCCAGTCGATAGTGGCTATTGATTCATAATTCTGACTTCATACGTGATACAAAGTGTTGAAATGAGGCAGATTGCATGTGAGACCGGCTCGTTCGGATCGTCAACTGCTTTTTATTCGAATTCTATCGAATGAAATAACCATTTGTTCTCATTGATGGTTATGGGATCACTGACCCAATCTACATCGATAACCAATTAACGCCTCTTCGATTGCCAACTGTGGGACACCTTGTTCACAAAATTTTCTTGATTGAAGGTCTTAGTTGGGAGTTTAACCCTGGTCGGATCAGCACAACGCTGAGTAATCAAACAATTAAATGCCTCTCGCTAGGTTCATCTGCCATCTATAGTATAGAATGGTATAGGGGAGTGGGTGGAAATTCTCAAATGCCGAAAGACGACCACAGCCGATCTCAGCAGAATAACGCTCACCCATCGATATCAGAGTTACACTATGGGTAGAAATTTGTAGATTCTCAGCGAGCAGCTAATTGAGTGATAAGTTATAATTGGGAGTAATTGGGAGTGGAAATTGTGCTGATGCTATTGGAACATTTTTCATATTTTTCAGCTTTCCTTTTATTGAGTCGACGTGTTCTTCTGTTAAATTCCGTTATAATAAATTTAAAAAATCATGGGAAACTATTCATTTTTGTTACTCAGTCCGTGAGGCGATGCTGCACGACTGCTGCGTGGTTGTAAAACCCTGTCTGCAGACTGAATAACAAAAATTAACGACTAGGCCGATGGAATACTTTGTATGAAAATATTCTCCATTTTATAATACTCTCCAAGAGACAGAAATTGATTTTTTGAAGAGAGCTTATAGAAATGAGTCCTTTCACGAGTTTGTACTAATAAGTCCGAGTAAAAAATCAACATTGAGCAAGTATTAAGCAATATTCGGCTATTTTGACGCAATTCGTTGGGAAAATGTTTCCACGATATTTTTAATAAACATCAAAAATTGAACTCGATTGACGAAACATTAAATAAATAGTAAAAGATAAACTAATAAGCTGGTGATATAGAGTTCAGTTTACCTCAGCATTAAAACGTGAAACTTGGACATTGCACGATCCTTTATGAGCTATAAAACTTCTCAAAACTGAAGGGATGGACGGCACAAGGAAAGTATTCGCACAAAATTGAAAACTTCACGAGTATGAATATTCATGATTCAACGGCTTTTAATATATATTTTACGATCTAGACCTCTTTGAGAATGCCACGCGTATGAAAATCCCGTAGCTCATTGTTGTTTTGTTGAGCGAACGAAAGTAACAGGATTTAAAGGGTTCGAGGCGAAAGATGCTGAGTAATAATCTCTTCAACTTTTAAAAATATCCTCCTTGATTGAGCATTTTTTTTCTATTGCAATAAAATCGATCAATGCGAAATGCAATGGTCCGTCGAGCAATTTACGACGCAGTCCCAAGCTCCTTAGACGCTCGATTTAGTAGCTTTCGTACCCACCCAAAATGCCAACCATAATTAACATAAATTTCAAAATAAAAGAAATGGCTTTCCTCCTCCGTATTTTTATGCGCCCGTTTGGTTTTACGATCGAACCGACAAAATATGGCTGAATGATTATGCTCCCTGTAGGCAGGGGGTCCGATTTTATATCTCACTTTCTTTGTTATTTTACTGCATATCGTTGGAATCATTGACAGCAACTTTTAATGTGAAAAATCATATCTTCATCCTCTTTAAAGAGGCACAATTCCTCTCCTATCCTTTCCATAAAAAATTGAATCTATTCCACATTTATGAAATATTTTATTAGCCACAATTGATTGAAAATAGCTGAGGGGGTGTTATTATCTATATCTTAACTGCTGTGTGAATAATAAACTCCAATTAATAATGTATCCGCATCACTCGACATTCTTGAAATAAATGAACATTGAACTAAATTTAAATGCCAATTTCAATTCCAATTTCGTTGTTTGCCTCCTATTTCCAAACTGCCGCATCCCATCATTTTGTTATGATTGTCAGGTTGTCGAGAGGAGCGTCAGAACAACTCAAATCCTCAAGACATTTGTCTCAAATCGTCTATTGTGAATACATCGAATTCATGGTGAATGCATTCCCAAAGTCTGGGAATATTATAAAGATCCTGCGATGCTGTGAGAACCCCTGCGGTGTATTCACGCGGAGGTGGTTCGACCTGGTTGTCAGTTTGACAGGACTTCGACTTGTGGAAGGGTACAACCCAGTATTCTTGATACACCCTCCTGTCTTTCCATTGTACATCTGAAGTGCCTGTCTGCTATCGCTGAACATGATATGGGATTAATCACTACAGCAGAATGAATTAGAAAAAAATCAGGGGAGAAATGATTTTTTTTTTTGCCGAACTCATTTCATTCATGGCAGATCATCATTTAATTAGTTAAAAATCGGCGAGCAGAGATAATAAATTATTATAAATTGATATAAACTTTAAATCTCAAAAGTGTATATTGCATTGCGAATCGAATTTCCTCGAATTAATTATCTGGTATCTAATTATAATAATAACTCGAGAATGAATACTCACTTGAAAACGTACTGGGAGGGATTCAAGATGGCGTTGGGACCCGAGTTGACCTGGTGCATCACCGGGGCAAAGGCTGCACTAAGATCCGATCTGCTTGGTTATTCGTCTCCCGCGAAACCCGTCCAAATTCTCATAATCAAAAAATTATGTTACGCATATTCAGTGTAATTTTTTGTTTTATTTCTTCACTCCTCCGCGGATCTCTCTGATAGCTCCATCTTTCTTGGTTTCTCGTGACCCTCCAATCCTGAGGTTTCTCTGTATTCTTCATATATATTGCGTTTATAGTCTTCCACTTCCAGAATCCCAGAAAACACACCTTGGAGATGGTATCGCTGAGATTTAGAACGTGGCTTGCCGATCTGGTAGCACGGATTCCGGTCGTTTGTTCGTGGAATTCACCGACTAATTGGTACCCCGCTTGTCGTATTCCAAAATGTTCCACCATGACGACGTGTATAACATGAATGTCGGCATCGGGTCAGTTCAATTTTAATGCAAAAATAAGGTATTTTATTTTCAGATGATCATGGAAATTGTTGTACAACTGGAAATACATGATTCTTCGGGTGGATTGACAATAAAATAAGATTGAATCCGGGATAAGAATCGGTGGGCTTGTGGATTGAATAATTCAGGGTATTGGATGGTATCGGTAGGACCGATGAGCATGCACATTCTCTATATGCCTTGAGTATTTACATATTTATTGGTATTCTGTTATTATTGTCATTACCCACTTTGTTTATGGAATTTTTACGAGAACTGAATTTCTTTAGCAACCAATGATTAATTCCACACTTCCTGTGTCTAATGCCATGTGGTAATCTATATATACTTTCACGAAACTCTCAAAGAAAAAAAGGAAGATGCAAATTTCATAATAATGAAATTCGATGCAAACTATTTTGTATAATGTTCTTAGAGAAAGTTGAATAATTGTTCTTAAAAGATGCAAACTAAAAGTACCTAACCCCTTAAGGACATTGTTCCTGGAGCGCATATTCCAAAAGGGATCGAAAGTAATGCGATGCACCTTTCAACTCTGGTATCACGTGTCGGTTATGGTCTCGTGGTGGTTTTACTCGTCTACGCTACTTAACAAACTTAGGCCACCCACCCACCGCCCATCACCACCCAACTCTCACCCACATGGCGTGTCCTCCACAGCTCTACGTTCCAGTAACAGCGTTCAACGGAGGAAATTCTTAACACAGTTAGGATATGTTAATTTTGTTTACCTATAAGCTATTAAAGGGTAGAGAGATTCTAACGTGCTTAGAAGCTAAACCAGTTTAGTTTTCGCTGGAATTTGTTGCCAAGGTTGAGGATCCTCGGGAAATATAACGCATAGAGGAGTCGCTGGGTGAAGTGAAGAGTACACGAGAAAAGGGCTTAGGAAGGGGTGGTTTTAACGGCGTATGAAGGGTGCTTACACACGTCTTATCACCTCGACGAAGCTTCTACAAACAACCTCAAGTCCTGATTATCCCAGTCGGGCTTCGGTGGATCGATTTATTTCCCTAGTTATTAAGCATCATTTTTTTCCTGGAAAATTACACTCAGAGAAGAATTTAGTAAATTTAACACCAAATTAGTTTGACACTAAATAATGAATTCAATGAATAGTCGCAAACACATGTGATTGCGCCTGCGCAATATTTACTTGAATAAATTTCTTTAAAACAGTCAATTACCATTTTTACATCGGGAATTATTTTTTTGAATTTAAACAAAAAACCGATTAAGTCCAGATATAATTGTTGCTAATCCACGTTAATATTGCTAAACTCTGGGAAAACACTTGTTAAAAATAACCCTATGTTTTATAAGAAGCATCATATAAAATTCTGAGATGAATAAAATGGTTGTTAATGATAAACAAACATAATTCTTTTTGAAAAAATACAATTTCAAATTTTAATAAGTCATTTTTCACTGACATTTTGAATATTCTTTTTTTGTTGTTTTTTTGAGTTTTAGTTAGATTGTTCTATTAATTTGACAATAGGCAATATAATTTTTTTTTGAGTTCCATAAATAATCTTTTCAAATTCTTATTATCATTTCTTTATTCATTTTTTTATATTTACATTAAAACCTTGAACTTAAAAAGGTAACATTCAACTTCATGTGACTTATTTTATTATCAATAAAATATCATTTTTCGCCGCGTACGAGTTCTTACACTTACAGGTGTTCAACAATTGTGCGTTTGCACAACTCATTCATAACAAAATAGATAGTCTGATGTTTTAATTGTCACATCAATTTCACAAAATACGGATTCGCTATCTGACGGAAAGGGTTCATTTTGTACCTATTTTTTTTTAACTATTCATGACATTTTTAACGAAAACTATCGGAAAAAATTTTTACTCGCCCGTTTTCACTACATATCTGTCAAGAAATAGTAAATCACAATCACAAGATCAAATTAATCGAAGAATTTCTTAATTTGAAAATCTTTTTGATTATTTTAAACGTAATTCAATAAAAACAACCATTTTTGGTCGCAAAGAAATAGTTTTAATACATTTTACTAAATTTTTCTCCCAGTGTAGGTACTCCTTGTATTTGCAACACAAAAGGAATTCTTCTATCGCTGTCCCCTCCTAAAAATCCTAGATTAGAACCTGGGGCTGAGCTAAAAAATAAAACTTTTTTGTTTCTGTATTTTTTTGGGTCTCAGACCCCTTCATTGTCGTCTCGAAAAAATTTAATTTCATGGAAAAGTGACACTTCTCACCTATAGATGAGCCTCTGTCCCCATTCATAATTTATATAACATACACCTGTTCTTCATACAATATTGTTTTTATGATTTATGTAATACACCACAAAACTTTAAATACGTCCCCCTTATCCACAGAGAAGAGGAGAAATGAGAATTAGAAGAGATTGGAATTTCCTATTGATGAGACTCGGGATTTCAAGGTTGTACAATTTAAAGTGTTTGCTATCACTAATAACCTTACCGTGCAAACCTGGCATTATTAACAGGTCCGCAAACATCAGCTATATTACTGATCCTGGTTCATTCGACCTGTGACACTAGGATCATCCTCCTCACCTTCGTCTCGATCTCTTCTACAGATATTTGCAATGTCTACAAGCCCAGATAATTATCCCACGGTGAATCCTTGGATAAAGGATTGAATTTTCGTAAATGAAGTGGACGAAGATAATGAGTTCCTGTCGAAAACAGTGAAAAATACAACCCCATGGACCTGAAAAATGTACGGATACAAGATGTGATGAAGAATTATCAAACAATTAATGTAATTCATGTTTTTTATCTGATAAATATTTTACTTTACAGGAGAATAATTTGTATCTATATTTGCATCCATAGAGATTTTTTTATACACTAACTCGATTAAAAAATATTTTTCTAAAAATGATTTTTTACAACTCAATCACATTTCGATTCTACTACAACTTATACTGCCCATTCCTCTCCATTTGAAAATGCGGATTTGACTCATCGAACGATTAATTAAAATTGAAAGTCAGTGGACTCGATAGCAATGTAAAAACAAATTTCACAAACTCTCGAGACTCCATAAATTCACAGTGAAAGCGCTGAATAGATTCCTGAGTTTCTCGTACTTCGTCCAACATACGAAAAACAACTCAATGCCGGGTGGATTGGCACAATAGCAAAGACAGCAATGGCAATTTGTTCCGAGTCGAACGCATTACATTAATATTCTGGCAGCATTCGGCCGAACCATTTCGCTTCAGTATCCGTGGGTACGTCTTCCTCACCGCCTTTTACCAATTCACAAATTATAAACCAACTTGAATATCACCGGTTTATTTGTCGGGTATTCCTTTGTTTTGCAAATCCATACCTCATTGTTTCCCCCTTTCAGTAGAATTGGTGGATTTCAGCAAGGGTTTGATCACTTTCCAGTGATGTCTTCATTCCAAATTCAAAAAATGGAAATATTTCATATAAAGCGAATGTAAAAACTGCACATTACATTTGCCGCGGTATATTATTACGTGGAAATGCCGGTCCGATGAAATACTAAAATGACACAGGCCCATCCACATTGGGTCGTTACTGGCCTCGCTTTCATGTCCACCAACAATGCATAAATATAACTGATTCCCCCTAAGGGTTTTGCCCATTGTATGATTCTGCATACACCAGTCATCCACTGTCGCATGATATCAGCGTGGGAGGAACGGGGTGTCGCCGATTCGTGACGCCAGGGTGCAGCTCAGACTCGAAAAAAGACCATCGCCCAAAAATCTAGACGAGTCAAACGAGTCAAATAAAAAAAAAAACAAAGTTAAATTGGTGCAATCTCTTTATTTGGACCAAACGGTTCTGAATAGAATTCAGTCGAGGTCGATGATCGTTCACCGTCTTAAACAATGAATTGAGACGAGAATGAACTCAGGACCAATCATCGTGAACATTTCTGGTGAATATGACTCACAAGTGTAATGTCATCCTCAGAAAGCGGTTCAGTGATTCGTGTGTTCGATGCCAGAAATACAATCGGTGTTGGTGGCGGGGGTGTGCAGAACCGTCCTTCGGCTGACAAACTATATTTGTCCTCCGTCACCATCGCCGTACTCCATCCTCCGCGTTTTCTTTTTCCCTCTGCTCATTCTCTCCTCTCTTTTTACAGTCAATCTTCCTCATCAGCTCCCTCCTCCTGGGATTTATCTATTCTTTATTGCCCACTGGGTGATTGCCGTCGAAGTCTCGCATTGAGGTCTGCAGACCAAAAAGACTAGCTGTCATTTCATCAAGTACGGAAGCCTCCTGTTCTCTGACAATTGCTCCCTGATTGCAATAAGATGGCTGTTGATCTGAGATGATTATATATCTCATTCCCGATCGTCAAAGTCAAGGAATTTATTAATCATTCTTTGATTTCACGTTTCAGGTGAGTTGACTCTGATGGTCAGTAAGCCTAGTTAACATTGCGAGCTCGTTATACTCTACTTTGCAAAATTAATCATCATTTTACATAAAAAACCTAATTTTCTTCAATTCTCAAGATAAATGAGAAACTTAGTCACTATGTTCAATTGAAATTGAATTCAAACTCACATAATTGAAGATTCAAATGACTTTATGACAGATTGAATTTCAGGAAATTTCTGGAAATTTCAGGAAATAGCGTCCGATTTTTAGTCATCAATCCATGAAACTTGATAGTTATTATAACAGAATAATTGAATGTCAATTTTTTATGAAAAATCAATCCGAGAGCGGATTAATTAATAGTATTGATTAATTGGCGGTCAAGTTGCAGGAAGATGGGTCTGAGTATCCTTAAGGTTATCACAGTGGTGTGCTCCCGGAGACAAATGCGGTCTCCGACCCCGGGGGGTAGAAGAGGAAGAAAAAAGAGCAAAAATGGGGTATAGAGGGAGAGGAGGAGGGAATACGCACGGGGGTCGGTGATAAACAGTGTCGCTCATTCACAATGGCCGGTGAACACGCATTAAAGCGGGCTAATATGAAGTGTATTAATGCGCTGGGCATTGTCTAACCCATCCGTACACGGCTACTGTCGTGGGGTCCACCTTTGTACCACCATGGGGGGTCCCTCAGTGTACGCTAACCCTCTCGATACATCCCACCATGCCTCCTCCATTTTTTATCATTGAAATCAAACCGATGGATGATGACAATAAATCATGGATTTAGGCGCGGGGAGAATATATAATCCCCTTACCTTGGGTTTGTCCGATATGTCATACCGTGGAACATCATTTCATCGACATACAATCGATTGAAGAGAAACTGAAATATCGACACGCAAATTTAACCAAGACAACAATAAACCACGAAATCTACTAAAATCATGACATTTGTTGGAAAATTATATTTGACTTGACGACAGAGTGACATGAAATTTTTCATTCATTCATTCATTTATTGCATATTCTGATGAATTTCCATTTTTACGAGCACATGGCACAGGAAACCGTGAAAATATGGAAAATTCAAGCAATAATTTTCTGGAATTTTCACTGATTTTTTGCAATAACTGAAGAATTTCTTAATTTGGTAATTTATCATTTCTGCATGTCACAGTATTTTGTTGTTACCAAATTCTATAAAGAGCGGTGAAAATTGATTAATTTCTTGTTTCTTGAATTTCATAGTTGAATGGGTATTTGAGTTTATCGCGAATCAATTGGTGAAGTTAGAGTTTACGTAGCTGAAATAAACAAAGCCTTGCAGATATGGTTTTAACCAACTTTTCGGCCCAATCTAGAGGTTCTACCCACTGTCGACTGAATTATGGGTTTCACTATGTATCCCAGTGCTTGGCAACGCATAAATGATTGCCCGTGTTATGTTAAACATCCCGAGCACTATGGCCATCTCCCTCTGTCTGTCTCACCCACATGGAGTGCGCAAAAGTGTACATCCAGGTACTTGGATGGGGTTTTTCGTGTGTAGGTGGACCCAGCAGCATCAGACACTGGACGCTAGCTGCCATGGCATGGCAAAAGTTATTTATCTCGGACGCTCGCGAGTGAACACCGTGGATTTTGAATAATTCTGCCATCATGATGTACTCGAGTTCATCCCTTTTCATTGCCCCTCTTCCCTCAGTTTGCCGAATTTTCTCTATGCGCGTGTAGATGCTCATTTTCTACTTATCCTTTTACGTATTTTGGTAATTTATCTGGGTTTTGAGCGGCCAGCAACTTTTCTCAACTGCTTCGTTGAGTTTCATTGGGAATTAATTCTCAGATTTTCGAAAATTAATGAAGTTGAAGCGTAATATCGTCAAGTAACAAAGTTATGAAAATTATGAGGATCCATAGCATGCACGCTTTCTCCACGAATCAGTCAGACGGAAAATCCAATTATTATTAAGCAATGAATTTTTCTTCATACCTCGGTCGAAAGTACGTACTTTCTGCTGCGATTTTCAAGCAGAAAGTCTAAATTTCCTGCATTAGTCAAACTACATGTATGCCGGGATTAAAGTGGGATTAAAAACTACTCGTGTGCACTGATACTCAATACATGAGACTCCGATGATATTCCCTCCCTGCCGTCCTCGCCAAATTTGTTACCTCAACGATTGTTTACCGGAAATTGGTGCTAATATTCGTCAACGAAAATAATTGAGAGCGTGATCAGTGTTACAAAGGAATAAAAAAAATGAACGCAATATCAGCATCTGATGAAACGGCGGATGAAGAAAAATATATTTATTTAATCGACAATTTGAAGCAGAAGCGCAATTAACCGTAAAAACTATAATATATAATATATAATATATACTACAAGTCGTGTTCCCGTGGCAAACCCTAAATCACGCTAAGTGCTGGTGAGGCTTAATACTGTTTGAAAAAAGTGCTTCACCACACGTTGAATTTTTTGTGAAAATCCCATAATAATTGTTTACTTACTTATAAATAAACTGCCTTTTGCAGAGAAAATGAAGTAGGGTATGACCGTACAGCTACAAGAGCATCCAGAAAATAAGTGAAATGACTCAATGAAGTTAAATTAATTAATAGCTACTCAGTTCCGACACTGAGGATGTGTACTTACTGCAAGATGTGTCTCAAATTGAAAAAATCATGGAACTGAAAAGGTCGGAAATAGGAGCAGCTATGTTAGCTTATTATCGATATTTTCTTTATGTACGTAGAATAATGACAACAATAAACAAACTGATTAGGCAGAATTGAATGATCCTCCAACATCCGGTCGGGAGTAAGTATAATATTTAAAAAGACATATTAGAGGCATCATAATGCCAGAACATAGTAGTGTTTCAATTTATAACTGGATGATATCTGGCTTGAGAGTCTCGGTTTCATTGCATTGTTGTTTTCCTCATGTATACTCGTTCTTGACGCCCAAGCCACACGAACAGCATCGCGTATCGTTCTATATGGGTGCGGTTCCAAGATCCTCAACTGCCTCCTCGGTGGCCTCCGCTGTATCCTTTTGATATCCTGTTAACTAATGCCCTCTATTCGTTACGATGCTCACTCCGAGATACATATAATTCCTTTCCCCTCAACCAAAACGTAACACTGAGGTGGCTCTCCATCCACCATACCAATCCGAACCATCTTCATTTCCTCTTTTTTATTCCATCTTATTTTATTCCTTTGACTTTTCTCCCAGTGGCACGATCCCCAATACCACTTATATATTCGTCGATAGCTCTTATAAAATGCATGAGAATTTCCAAGGGAACGCTCAAGATCACATTTCGATACTCTTTGCCCACATGAACACCAACTTGAGATCCATGCAACAGAGATATTTTTTATTGTTTCAGTTTATTTTCTACAGATCTGATTGGCAAATTATTCCGTTATGTATTTTATTTTTAGTTTTCACTTATGACACGAGAGACTGAAAAATTGTTTTAAAAGGGATAATAGCCATTTTATTATTGGGAACTTGAAATATTTTTGGAATTCTAGGACTAATGGTCAAATTTTCGATTCGTTTTGAGCAAGATTAATACAGAAATTTTCAAAGTTATTTGATAACTCGAAGAATTCATAATCAAATCAATAATTTTAGCACTTAACAAATGAACATAAAACCTTCTTCAGCAAACATGAATGCTGGGATGCTTGATATTCGAATGAAAAAGGCAAAGACAATTGTTTTTATTGCCACACTTTTATTCAATAGACATTTATATTCATCGATGTATTCCTTAAAATGTTGGAAAATTCTCCAGTAAGCCCCAAAGATCACATTTCGATACTCGTCCCTTCCTGAAAACAAGCAAAGATTCATGTACGACATATACTTATACAACACATGAAACTCCCCCTTTTCAGCTGCTGGTCCACTACCTCGACTCCCAGGTCCCCGTGAATTCCGAGAAATTCCACCTAGCAATCTTTCTCCTCGTAAAAAAAAGGGAGAAGTTGCTGAAATGATCATCATCCAACTCTTCCAGTTTTCGAGAAATCTCGCTTCATATACACGCCGCGAATGACTTTCCGGGACAAATAATATCACGATGAAAGATATATCTTCATATTTAAAACACAAGAATCTGATGATTCCCACGGATGAAAATTATCACTCGGGATGTATAATACCTGGTTTTAACTCGTCGGGGCGCTAACAAGC